AAAAAGTTTTATTATTATCATAGAATATTTTAATACAAACCTACGATAAAACTATTATGTGCAAAAGATTAAGTAATTGAAATGATAAATTTTACTAAAAATTTCTAAATAAAGAAGTAGTACAAACTTTTAATAATACTATCAGACTGATAAAAATCTATAAAACCTTCTAAAAAATTCTGTTAGATAAACTAAATAACAAAGATATGTAAAAAAATACTTGACCAATTAAGTCATTAGAATTTGCTAAAAAAAATACAAAAATATACTTTACTGAGTTATTTAAATTAATAGTTTAAAAAGTTTGATTAAAACTAAGAGAATTAGTAAAAGATAATAAAGAAGATATTAAAAAAATAGATACCAAAATTCAGATAAACTTTACAAAAATAAAAATAGTTTAATATAGTAATTTAACAAAATATCTGTAACTAAAAATATTATTCTAGTTATAATATGTTATATAAACCTAGATTAACTATATATAAAACATAAAAGGTTTTAGTAATAATGTTTTAAAAATAAATTATATAAAATAAGATAGAGAATTTTATAGTATAAACAAATATTTAAAACTTCTTAATTTATATATATATATTAAAGATTTTCTAGTAATAAGTAGAAATTGTAATATAAAAAGTTTAAATAGAAAATATATATAGTTGAGTTACAAATATAGCATCTAGTATAAAATCTATATAGATAAACTATATAAGTTAAACATTAAAAGTATATATATACCTGGTTGTACACTTTAATCTAAAGCTGACATCTTTGAAACTTTGATTAAAGTTCTTATATTCTATAATAATAAATAAAAATCAGTTTTCAAAAGACTAGTTTAATAGAAAATTAAATAATTAAAAAATTTATTTAGTAAAAATTTATTAATATATATTAGATGCTAAAAAAAAATACTAATTAAAATTTAGATTATTAAATGTTCTTATATATTGTTAGGTTTGGAAGATTGCAACTCTGTTGCTCTACAATTCAAATTATTATGTAATATATAATAGGTAACCTTTTTGAAAGAGGGTGTTACTTTGAGTCAATGAATGCAAGTAGAGTAAGTCATGTAGTTAAAAGCTTGAACAGTAACATTATAGAGGTTCACAGAATTTGTAACTGTAATAGTGTTAATGTTTATTATATACAATGTAGTGTATTAGAATTTATTATTTAATAAAACAAACAAAGCATACTGCTTCTAAGAGCCATTTCTGCCTTTATTATAATATAAAATTTGTTACAAATAAATATAACTTATCTATTAAAAATAATTAAACTATTTACATGTATTTATTTAATATCTATTATTTTTTTTCTTTATTCATTATTTCCTCTTCAAATCCAAAATACTGTTTCTGATCTTAAACACAACTTATTACACTTATTACATTTATGGCATTTATTGCACTTATTGCATTTCATGCATTTTTTATGTAATCAGTCATGATATTCAGTATCACAATTTCTAGTATTACATTTCTCTCCTGCTTAGGTCATGTGTACTATGCATAAATTTTTTTGTAATCTGTTAAAGTTCATATAGCTTCAATTTTTGCAGGTCTGCAAACTTCAGCTTGGTTATTTAATAGATCTGTTTAATGCTGTATTTTAAGAACATATCATAGGTTTGGATTGCAGAGGTATAGTAATGCCTCTTCATTATTTTTTGAAATTAGCTCTGCTGCTGCTAGGTTTTATTAGCATATAACATAACTAGATAATAGTTATATACTAACAAAATTATTTACTGTTTTAGCCTCAAGCTTACCAGAGATGATTTATTGTTAAGGTTACACTTCTGGGTAAGTTCTGAGTTATCATAAAGAATGGAAGTACTGATTGATGTTGATAGAGTACAGATGGATAATGTTATCTAAGATTTCATTCAATATAATCAGATTTCTAAATATTTTTTTTTTTTGTATTTAATCAAATTTTTTTCTACAAATCTTAAAAATTTTTTTACTTTTTTTACCCATACTTAATATTCTTTTTTATTTTATTTTTTTTATTTTATACTTTCAACAATTTTGTAAATTTTATTTTATATACTTTTTGATTCTTATTTCCTATTCAGATCATTTATAATACTTTTTTAGTAGTATAATATTAAACAATATTATAAGAACCATTTCTTTTATAGTGTGCAATTTGTATACATCACTGTTTAGTATCTAATAAATATAAAATAGTTCATCCTATTTTGGCTCTAACTTTATATTTTTATTATACTTTTTTGAAGTACTGTATAGCAGAAATTTATTACTAATGAATAATTTAGATGAAAAACAGGCATTTTGATTATACTATTCTTTTTGTTTTCTTTGAGCCTGTTGGACTTTCAACACAGCCTTATAATGTGTTATCGATAAGTTTTCTAACAATTAGAACATTCTTTGTATTATTATTTCTTCTAACAAATTATTAGATTTGATTAGTAGATAGGTTTCTCTTTTATGTATCAAGAAAAATGTCATGATCTTGGTAGTTGTATGCTTAGAGCTATGGTATGCAAATAATATTGCAGGCACAACAAGCTTCTAGTCACTAATGTTATCTATTGACTTTGCAATAAATTTGCACAAGGTCTTATTATATTGTTCTACTAACTCATTGGTCTGTGGGTAGTATAGTGTTAATAACAAGTGCTTGATTTTAAACTTTTTTGGCAACTTATTGACAAATTGATTTCTAAAGTGGATGCTGTAATCTGATAACAGCTTGAAAGAGCATTTATATCTGCATATAATATCTTTAAAGATGAAATCAGTTACACTTTGAGCATCAGTAATTGAAATCACCTTAGTTTTTAACCATTTTGTTATATAGTTAGTTGCTATAACTATATACTATGAATTTTATAGAGTAATTGAAAGTAGGTCTATGATATTAATCCCTATTTTATAGAATAGTGCTGTTACAGATATAGACTATAGAGGTTCTGTATATTTGTTCTTTCTCCTCTTTTGACAATTTTTAAATGATTAGACATATTTATTCAAATACTTGTGGCTCATAGTATGTCCTATGGATTTTCTTAAACATCAGCTTGGCTTCAAAGTGCCTACCAAAAGGGTAATCTGTGTTAACAACAAAATAGAATCAATTTCATGCTTCTGTATTACTTTCAAAAATTGGTTTTAAGTTTTTTTGCTTTTTTTTATAATAAACTATTTTTTATTATAAACAATTTACTGTAATTAACCAACTGTTTTTTTTGTTACTTGTTTAGGTTGCTGTTGATATATTCTTCTTGCAAATATTAATTAACCAATTATAGTCATCTGCTTCTATTTCAGATTTCTAATGCCAGAAAACTAACTACCTGAACTAAATCAGATTTATTATTAGATTTGCATATTTTCTTATCTTTTGTTTATATTATTTCTTTTAATATATTATTTTACTAATTTGATATCAGTTCTCTTAGATGATCTAATTTTTGAATATGTCATTGTTTCTTACTTATCAATAACTATATATATTTCTACAATATTATTTATCTTTTTATTTATTTAAAACAATGCATCCACATTCCAATAGGTATGTTTTGACCTATACTAGATTATATAATTGTACAGCTGTAAATGAAGTATTCAATAAGCTCTTTTACCCTTTAACTTTTTACTATGCAGTCACTTAAGTGTTAAGTGTTTAGTTATAATAACAAATGACTTAAAGCTAAAATAATAGTGATAGTATTCTACTGTTCAAATAACTATTAGCATTCTGATTCATATATTAAATAGTATTTTTCAGTTTTGAATAAGCTATGACTAGCATATAAGATCATGTTTTCCTTTCTGTTAGCACTTTTTTGTGCAAAATAACTTCTAATCAAGTCTCTAATATATTAATATACAAAAAAAAGGTATCATTGAAGTTGGGATACTTTAGAATAAATGCCATAATTAGGTTTTTTTTAATGTTTCAAATGCTTGTTACTATTGCAGTTCCCATTCAAATATACATCTTTTTGCAATAGGTCATGCTATAGCTGAAAATCCAAAAATGAACTTTCTATAATATGACACAAGAACAATAAATTCTCTTAACTGATGCAGGATATTGGATACAGAGCAGTTTTTAACTTTTTATATTTTAATCTTATTAGACTGTATTTCTTGCTAACTGATAATATGCCCAAGAAAGTGAATAATAAGTTTAAAGAACTTGCATTTGTTTATATTAATTTTCAACTCTGCTTTAGCTAACTTATTAAATACCTTCTTTAAATATACCAAATGTTCATTGAAAATACAAGTATATATTAATATCATTAATATAAACAGTTACAAATTTTCTGACATACTTCTTTAATATATAATCTATTAACTGTTAAAAAGTGAAAGGTGTGCTTAACAATCTAAATAACATAATATTGAACTTGTAGAGTCTTTTTCATATTATGAATGCCATTTTCTCTTTATCTTTTTCTTCTACCTTTATTTGCCAATATTACCTCTTCAAGTCTAGACTGAAAAACTATTTCATGGTACTAAAGGTCTTTAGCAAATCATCAATACAGAGTAGTGAATAAGAGTTCTTTTTTATTACTTTATTTAATTTTCTATAATCTATGCATAGTTATAGCTTTTTATCTTTTTTTGAAACTACAACTACAGGTAAAGCCCATAGGCTATTAGACTTATAATTAACATCTTTTTTCTATTTTTTTTAATTCCTTTTTGATAAACTTGTACTTGCTTGGTGCTGCCTTATATGCCTTCTGCTTTATCAGCTTAGTGTTGTTAGACTTGATTTGATAAGTTATTATGTTCATTTTCCCAAGTTCTTATATATCACTTGTAAACAAATCCTCTCTTGTTTAAAAAATAATGCTGCCTTTTTCTTGTCTTTTTTATTAAAGTTATCATTCTAAAAGAACTGTTTAATCTGTCTTTCAATCATAATTTTGATTTTATAATCATTTTTCATTGGCATTTTTCTATGTTCATTAAATACAAAGGCAGGTTTGTTGATTTTTCTTACAGGTTATAAAATAAGTCTGCAGGTTCTTTAATGGCTTCTTCTGTATAGTATCCTTCTGCCTTGACTAGTTTTTTGTCCTTATAAATGTATTTCCCAAATTCATCTCTGCTATTGCTACCAGGCTGTTTTTTCTTCTGAATTTCCAACTTTTTGATATCATTACTAGAAATAGGTACCTTGATTCTTTTATTATCATGCTTAAGAAATAGCTGTTGTTTGTTAAAATAAATTTGTGCTTGTGCCTTTTGGAACTAATTGTTGCTAAATAGAAGGGCCTCATCTGTAGATTCAATAATCCAAAAAGTACTGGGCAATAAGATGTCTTAAATGGCCACTTTTATATCTTTAATCTGTTCTAGTATTTGTGTTTTTGTACCAGTTGTTATGATTACTACTATGGATGATAGTTTATCTATTTTTAATCTAAATTTTTATATGAGCTTTCTTATCATTAAACTTACTGCTTTATCTAAATCCAATATGGCTCAAATAGAGTAACTTCTAATTTTAATATAACAATGGGCAGCTATCATTCTATAAGTATTGCTTAAATTCACTATCTGAAGTTCTTGAACTTCTTAAAGTACTTGAATTTCCTTAAGTTCTAGGGCTATCAAGATTGATATAGTACTTGGACTAGGTTTCTTTTTTGGTTTAGAATATAAAATATTTGATTGTAATTAGATTCACTCTTGTATTCATTAAATCTTCTGCAATATTGAAGTGCATTAGACTATCTATAATAAATAGTTCCTTTTTTCTTTTTGATTTCTTGACCAGTTATGCTTTATCCAACTTTATAGGCTTTAGTTGATCCTCTACATCTACTAGTAATAGTTTGGGTTCTATTCAGAGTTGAAGTCTATTATCCTACTTTACTTTAGATTGTAGTCTAGGTCATTTTTTAGCAGTATTAGACTGTGGTTGCTGCCTCCTTTTATTTATCATATATATCTCATCACAGTTGTATTCATAGTTATAATAATTTATCCTTCTAACATTATCTGTTGGCCATCTTTTCTCATTACTAAGCTTCCTATATATTTTTTTTCAACATGCAATATTAAGCAATATGCCTTTTTTTGCCATATTAGTAACAGATAATATTCCTTTTAGGCTTGGAGGTTTCTTTATATCTTTCTTTTTACATAAGTCCTATTTTTGTTGTTTGGTTGTCACAACATAATTGACTGATAGTTGCTATACTTGCTTAACTAATACCTCTATAAGCTCATTTTTCTTTTTATAGATCACTGAGATCTTATGTAGATGGGCATTATAATATTCACTAGCTTCAACTTTTCTTGCTATCATAATTGCTTTATTGAGGTTGTTAGAAGACATTACTACTACAAAGGTTGCCATTTTTTCTTTCAATTTGCTTAAAAATATTCTAACTATATATTGAATAGATAAAAAGTTAATTAGATCTAGATAACTTATCAGTTTCTTAAATTTGGTGGTATAGACATTTATCTTTTTAGTTTCAAGTTCAGTAAGACTGTTTAACTGAATATGTTATTGTGCTGCTTTTCTAAAGTGACAAAAAAAGCAACTAATAAATAATAAAAGTTCCTATTTAAAAGTCTTCACTCTTTTATTTGTCTATATTGGTTTTGTTATTTTTGTAATATTCTGCTGCCAATCTCTTAAGGTATCTAGAAACTATCTTTAGCTTCT